GGAGCATAACATACCGTGTGGGTCAGTAGTTTCCCTGTTTTGTAATTTTTAAGTTTCTTTCTCAGTTAGACTTTTAAAGTATCAGTTATTGATTTGTGAGCCTTAATTCATATTTGCCAAGTATTATAAGAACGGGTTTATAGGTAGTTAATATACGGGTCATCTTTCACTTAGAATTTATATTCAGTCAGTGTGTGTGTGTTTGTTCATTTGTTCATTCATTCATTCATTCCACAAATACACAGCACGTCCTTCAGTCCCACGCTGGTGGAAGCACCGGGCACCAAGGACGTGAGCAAGTGTGTCTGAGGAGCAGGGGGCTTGGAGGAGGGCAGGCCGTGGGGTGGGGAGGTGGAAAGTGTCCTCAGCAGAGGGGACAGTCTCCTCCATGTGGTCCTGCACGTGCTGGCAAGGGAGGCAGAGACTCTGAGTCACTGCTGTTGTGTCCAAACACCCTGCATCTGAGAAATAAACGCTCCAGCACCACCGATGGGGACCGGCAGCTCTGTTTGCAGCCTGTGGCCCGTCTCCCTCTTTGCCTCCCCTGGCCTCACAGTCCAGGCCACCAGCACCCTCAGCTGGGCCTCCGTGGGCAGCGCTCAGGGCTGCCCTCCGCCTGCAAAGAACGGGCGTCTCGTCTTGCCATTTCTATTCATCACTGTCCCCCAGGGCAAATTCCACACTGCCTGGGTGCCCGCAGCCCTGCCACACTGGTCCTGCCAGCTCTCCCGCTGCTCGGCCGTGAGCCAGGTCCCTTCCGTCCCAGGCAGGGCCTTTGCACGTGCTGACCACTTCCCTGCTTCCCTGAGGCCAGGCAGCTTCTGCGCAGCCTCAGTTCTCACTTCAGCCGTTAGGACCAAGAAGCTGGAGGAAGAAGGTGCTGGTGCGTGTACTGAGCACGTTCGTTTCGTTTGGTGAGGATGGAAGGTAGCAAGAGGGCACCTCGGCTCAGCCGCTGCTGCTGGTGACGTGGCCGCTAGCAAGGTACACAGCGGCTCGTCCTTCAAACGCACCGTGAGCTCGTTGTAGACGAGGCCGAGCGCGTGTCCACGTGGCGAGGAGGCATCTACAGCCCCGACCCCGTGACCGCCCATGCTTCCCTTCCATTTGTCTTTGGTCTGGTGATCTTGTTCTTATTGACGTGTATGTGTCGTAAATGTAAGAAAGTCCTTCGTCTGTGTAATGTATTACATGTATTTCCCCACAGTTTCTTTTTTGTCTTTTGACTTAGCTTGTGGTGTTTTTTACATGCAGAGATTTTATTTTATTTATTTTATTTTTTATTTAGGTATAATTGACACACAACATAATGATTCAATATATGTGTGTATTATAAAGTCTAATTAATCTCTGTCACCATACAATTTTTTTTTCTTGTGGTGAGAACTTTTAAAGATCCACTCTTAGCAACTTTCCAACACACTGCACCGTACGGTTAACTGTCGTCACCATGCTGTTTGCTACATCCCAGGACTTCTCATAACTGGAAGCTTATGCCTGCTGACCCCCGTCATCCATTTCACCCACCCCCACCCCCACCCTGGGGGTCACACACACAGACTTGAAACCTCTGCTGTCCGTTATGCTTGTATGGCTCTGGGCTTGTGCCTTCTGGCTCTCCTCACTCAAATATTTCAAAGTACAGGAAAACCTTGGATTGCGAGTAACGTGGTTTGCGAGTGTTCTGCAAGATGAGCAAATATTTCTAATACATTTTAACGTGGTAAATGAGCGATGTCTTGCAAAACGAGTAGTTTGTCTCCGGAATGAATTATGCTCGCAAACCAAGGTATTACTGTATTATCCCGTGTTTTCTTCTAATATTTCTCTAATTTCATTTTTACACTTAGATCTTTGGTCCACGTAGCATTTATTGTCGTGTGCTGGAAGGGATCGGACTTGTTCATTTTGCAGGCTGCTGTGCAGCTGTCCTGGACCACTGACTGAACAACCGTCTGTGTTCTGTCCAGCGACATGTCTGTTTCTGCCCCACCGCTGTCACTCACTGGAGGACGAGGCTGGGACGGGCTGACATTGGGCAGGGCTGACCCTGCCTCATCCCTCCGTGGTTTTGTTTTTCCAGCATTTCAGGTTTAGTTTCCACAGGAACTTCTACACTCAGCTTGTCTACTTCGAATAAAACATCTACTGGAAAGTTTAGTGGGATTATATGTTAATTAGGGAGCATTAGCGTCTGTGGTGTTAATCCCTCCATGCTCCAGTTCCTGCACACAAATCAGACTTAGAGCTGGGCCTCTTCCAGGACCCCAGCCCCAGAGTGAGAGAGTGCATGCATGTGCGTGAGCACGTGTGTGCGTGAGTGCGTGCGTGTGCGTGTAGGAGTGTGTTTCCTACATCCTGTGGACATGAGAAACGTCCAGACCTTAGAGAATTTTTATAAGAGTTTATTTGAACCCAAACTGATGCCATCTGCCGGGAAGCGCGATCTCAAATGCTCTGGAGAATAACAGTTTCACAGCTTGTTTTATGCATTTGGAATTAAGGAGGGAATGAAGGAAGATGAGACGGAGGTGGGAAAGCAAGGCGGGGATTGTTAAGGAGCCTGTGTGCTCTCCTGAGGGTGGTTCTGCTTACCTCAAAGGCTATTAGCCCAGGGCCGGCCAAGTGGCGCGATGGTTAAGA